TGGTTAGTTTGCAATCTTAATCAGAAATTACTCAAATTACCAAACTTACCGATAATAATCTGGTTAGTTTGGGTTATTCTGCAATTTAATGTCTGATCATAATTGAAAACTAACCCAAACTAACCAGCTTATTATTGGTAAGTTTGGTAATTTCTGATTAAAATTGCAAACTAACAACTAACCCAAACAAAATTATTGTTTTCGAAATTATTGAATTTCGAAAAAAAAGTAATTCGAAATGAAAGTTTTTGAAATAAATGTTTTCGAAATGATTGAATTTAATTTTAATTTTAATTTTAATTTGTTTATTAACGGACTTGCCATTTAGCTTTTACAATCTATCATAAATTATATTCAATGCACTAAAATTACAATAACTAAAATACAACTACAAAAAATAGAATAGGATAATTAATAGATTCACCCAGCCTTTCCAGTAATTTGATACAATTTAAAGAATTAACTTTATAAGTCTCTTAAAACAAGCAAGATCGGTACAGAAAAGATCAGCACTACCACACTTTGAATTTGCCAGCCCACATATTCTGGACATAGGACTATTTAACCCATAGTTAGTTCTATGAAAATCTATTGCAAATAAGTCATGCTGACGGGTTAATCTTTGGGGTACTCTAATATTAATATTACTTAACAATTCAGGGCTATCAATCATGCCATTTACAATTTTGAACAAAGTAATTATATCAAATTGAGTCCTTCTAAGTTCCAAAAGTGGTAAATTCAACTTTCCATATAAATGTTCATAATTAATGTCTTCCATGGGAATTCCCAATTTAAAATTTATAGTTCTCAAAAATCGTCTCTGAACCTTCTCCAAAGAATCTACATAAACATTATAATATGGAGACCAGGCTGGACTAGCATACTCCAACACTGACCTTCCAAAACTACAATATAGTGTTCTAAAACACGTGACATCACGAAAATCAGCAAGTGTTCTATTTACAAAGCCTAACATTTTTATTGCTTTATTCCTCATATAATTTATATGGTAATCAAACCGCAGCTCACTGTCAATATAAACTCCAAGATCTTTTATAACATTTACTCTTTCCAGTTGCTCATCATAGATTTCATAATCAAATGGAATGTTCTGTTTTTTTCTAGATACGGTTAAGATCTTACATTTCTGAATATTCAATTCCATACCGTTTAACTTACACCACAGGCACAAGCTATTTAAGTCTTTTTGCAATTCAAGACAATCTTCAGTATTCCTTATAGTCTTAAATAACTTCAAGTCATCAGCAAAAAGAAGTTTACTACTGAATTTAATTCTGGAAATAAGATCATTTATAAAAATGTCAAAAAGTATTGGTGCCAAATGTGATCCTTGGGGCACTCCAGATAACACATTTATTTTAGATGATATCACATTCTTTATCTTAACTGCCAACGTACGGTCTGATAAATAACTCTTAAACCAAGCCAGAATTGAACCATGGAAACCTACACACTCCAATTTGTGTAACAAAATATCGTGCTGCACCCTGTCAAAAGCCTTGGAAAAATCGGTGTAAACTGAGTCAATCTGATATCTGTCTTCCAAGGCCCTCGCCAGTGATTCAGTGTAGATTAGAAGGTTCGTAACAGTTGAACGACCCTTTACAAAACCATGTTGGGATGACGATAATACACTGTACATTAAAGGAGCTATCTTATTAGTTACTATTGATTCGAATAACTTTGCGATAATACTAAACTTAGAAATTGGCCTATAATTATCAACCAAAGATTTGTCGCCACTCTTGAAAATTGGAGTTACTCGAGAATCCTTCCATGGTGAAGGGAATGTTCCAGATGACAAAGATACATTATACAATTTTACTAGAATTTCAGACAATATATATTTACACTCCTTAAAAAGTTGTACAGGTAATTCATCAGGACCAGCTGATAGATTTGTTTTAATATTTACGATCGAGTTGAATACATCCATTACATTTATATTACAAGTATTAATATCAAGGGTTTTATCACAATTTACCTCCGGTACACCACAGTCTATCTTCCTATAAACAAACCCGAAAAATTCCGCAAAGAACTGTACAATTTCCTGGGGCTCATGTGTGGTTTTACCATTCAAACTCATACAATTTGGCAAGTCATAGTTACTATTTTTCACATTTACAAATTTCCAGAACGTCCCACTATCATTGATAATACTAGATTGAACATCAATGACATAGCAATCATAGCATTGTTTTATCAAAATTTTACATTGTTTTCTTCCATAATGTATGTACCCTCTTCTTATTTAGAATAGTTGATTTTAGCTCATCACTATACCAACCAGGGAACCTCTTATTTTTAGATCTTTTTTCTGGAACATACATTTCAATACCTCTATAGAGTATAGAATAGAATTCTCGAACCGCTATCTCAACATTTTCTACATTCAAAATACTATCCCAATCAAAGCATCCCAAGAAATTGTTCAGTTCGACATAATTTGCATGCTGAAAATCAAAATACTTATAATCAAAAGACATACTATTCCTATTGGGCACAGACATGTCCAGTTCAAATAATAAGGCTGGGTGATACTTATCACATGGTAATAGTGGACTACTAGATAAGGTCCAGCACAGATCCCAAAGCATTTGGAATATTATTAATTTGAAACAAATTTAGGTAGGCCATAAAATCAACAATCACAGAGGCCTGGGGTGAAATACCATTCCACACTGAGACACCCCTGTCATCACACGGCCACTTGATTTCAGGAAGATTAAAATCACCACACAAACAGATCCTATCACAGTTGATCTTGCTTAAAACTTCCTCAACTGATTGACTGTAGGCTTCATAGATCTCTGCTGAAGATTGAGGAGGTATATAAACGTTACTTAACAAAATTTTTCTTCCCTTGATAGACAGTATTACAAATAATTGTTCCAGATAATTAATAGAAGTATGTACTTGCACTGCTGAAATAGCTTTATCCACTGCAATAAGAACTCCTCCTCCTCGTTTAAAAGTGCTAGTTTCAGCCGATCTATCACATCTGAACACAAAATAATCATTAAATCCCAATTCATCATTCAAAATATCGCCAAAGAGCCAGGTCTCTGAGAGCATAACCACACCATATTCATCCAACAGCAATGCTCGGGAAAGTTCCTTGAGTTTTGTCCTTATCCCCCGCGCGTTCTGGTAATAACATGTTAGTAACCGTGCCTCGTTTGGCTGGCTTGACGAAAATTTCTACGATTGGGGACAAAAGAGGAGAAACCATTAAAATTTCGTGTCCTGCCATTAAATCGACGCGTCGGATTTTTGTGAAATATATACGGTCTGACGGCTACATTGACTGGCCAATTAGAATCATCAATCAAATTTCTTTCGTATTCAGGTTTAATAGCAATTTTAAAGGAAGATTTTAATTGATCTTTTCCCTGTACCTTCTCGCATGAAAGTACATCAACTGAACACTTTTTTAAATGATCGATCACACTTTGCTCAGATGTTTCACCATTTAAATTACTGATATAGAACCAAGTACATTCAACAGCTGCAGTGAGTCCCTTAAGACCATTATTAGTGCCCGTTATACTGATTTTCTTCTGATGTGCAGTAGAAATATGACCCTTCGAAAATCCTTCAAGTGAGGCATTGTTGGCTTTAATATTTTTCCTATGACCCCTATGATGCGGCATTCTGTCACTCATAGACTCAGTTATACCATTAAAATTATTGTTAGCTTCATCGTTTACCGTATTGTTTACAGAATTAATTTCTTGTAGAGATTGAACATGATCTATAGCCTTTGATACCCGAGAAGCATTGATAAATTCATTATTAGTTGGTAAGTTGGGATTGTTGGTCAAAAATTGAACCAGTTCCTTGTTCGACTGTATAATGGCTTGACCATTGCCCTCAAATCTTGCTCCAATGGATTCTGATTGTTTGACCAACAAGCTTTCCATTGTTGCAACCAGATTGTTTCCATCGAACATCCGAGTTTCCTGAACAATAGATGCCCCAGGTGTAATAGTCTGCTGATGTATTTCTATATATTCCCGAGTGTATTCCCTATGTATTCCTCGTGCTCTAAGTAATCAAAACATGTATTTTATTAGAATAATTTAGTGAAAGTAAGGAAAAAATGTAAGTGCATGTAGGAAATTGAGACTAATATACAGGGTGTCCCCTGTGTCCCACCGGGAACCAAATCTATCTGTGACCGGAGATTAAATTTAATTATAATTTTTAATCACGGATTAAATTCAAAGTTGGTGTTAAATGAGGGTTTATAAAAATCTGAGATAGGAATGTAAAATCGGGTTTCCTCTAAAATTAACTGTTTAGGTTTTTCAGCCTGTCAAAAGTTGCAAAAAGTCAATTTTCAACTGTCAACATTTCCAAAACAATTGAACTTATTCAATTAGGTTAGGAATTTCCTATTTGTATGTACAAATAGGAAATTCCTAATCTAATTTTATTTGAGTTTCAAGAAGCGACATACGTTTTGTCACTAGAACGACTGGTACTTCTAAATAGAATGAAATCTGCTCAGAATTTTGCGTAGAATCCAAATATACAATCACATATAGGGTGTCTCATTTAAAATAAGCAAGTTGACGTCTACTTCCGGTATAACCGGAAGTGCCACCATTTTGAAAATATTTTAGGCGGATTGCCCCCATGGCCCATTGACATTATAGACTCTGAGATAGGGCTTGTTTAGTGGAGTCATTTTTTTTGGTCTGGCATTTTGAGGGATAAATGTGACTAGTTAGCTGATGAGAATATAAGTGGTTTTGTAATTTTTACATATGGCAAAATAAAAGAATTGATTTGATTTGATTTGACTGATGTAAAGTGCAAAAGACTATGAAACATTATTGCAATTTAATTGACTTTAAAATGACTATTGAATATTTTGGAGAAAATCATTATTTTTCCGAAATTACGAAGACAATAATTCGAATTTGAAGTTTTATCTAAATAAATGTAAAACTCATTTTTTTTTCCAGGTCAAGCTTTCAAGGATATAATCCGTTGGCCGCGTCCGGGCGCGCCCGTCATCCAACTCCAGGAAAAATGGGCCCTGGAATACGGGTTTCCGTCCACCCACGCTATGGTGGGAGTCTCGATACCATTTTCGGTTGTTTTATTCACCATGAATCGGTACGAGTACGATATAAGTTGGGGTCTTGCCATAGCCTTCCTTTGGTGCACTGTAGTGTGCATGAGTCGACTTTATTTGGGAATGCATAGCGTTTTGGTGAGTTTTAAACAGTTTACAGAAAACTGTAATTTCAATTGAGTTTGTAAAGTTTGAACTAGCAAATAACCTACTTAAAAATAGAAATTTGACTGAAAAGAGATATAACATTTTCATGTATATTTCAGATGGATTTTATAATCGACTTCGATGACTGACTGTTATGTTTCCAAGAATACTGACTTTTAGGATTTTTGTACATGCCTTTTTATACGCGATATTTGCATCATTTTTGACCTCAGTGTCCACGATATTAGAAATTCCTTTCTTTGTGAATCTATAAAACCCGACAATATTTGCAGGTGTTCCTAAACTTTCCGATTCATAGCCTCTGGAGTACGAAAAACCTGTTACTTTGTTTCTATTAAATTTTTTTAGTTCAAAGATTCGCGTTCGGATGCCGCCAGCAATAAATTATAAACTATTCAAGAGGAAACGTGAATTTTTCTCTCCGTACTTGTTATTTTTTTACCATACTTAATAACAGCTGTAGATTTATAAAATATTTTCTGCTTCGTGAGTAATGGCTATGTAAAAACATCCAAAAAGCCCAACAAAAAATTCCATCCTCTAAAAAGCATTATTTTTTCTTGTAGGATATCGTAGCTGGTCTATTGTTAGCCATCACTCTTATGGCCCTGTTAGTACCACTAAGTGACCATTTGGATAATTTCTTATTGACAGATCCGACTTCGCCGTTCCTGCTGCTTACTTCGTCCATATTGATGATTGTTTATTATCCGAATAGCGGTAAATGGACGCCTACAAGGTAATTTATTATATACTTATTTATTTATTCGTTTAATTTATTTGAGGCCCAGTTTATTCATGTTCTGTCAAACTTATTGGTAACTGTCCTGAGTAGAATGGAAGCTAAAGCGTCAGGGGAATTATTATTCGCCCTACTCTCGCCCCTTCTTTCCTTCTCTCAACCCCGCCTCTCTGTTATTTTTATTTCCCTTACTCCTAACCCTCTACCACCTACCCCAGTCTCATCCCCACTCTTTCCCCTCCTCCTACTCTATCAGTAGTAGAGTTACTACTTTGGTCTAAACGTAGCTGATGAATGTTGTAAACGAATTATGTTCATAAAATTTACATCACAATGATTATTTAAATTAAAACATAAAGTACCAATGATCCTATCTGAATTTAAAAAAATGTGATATTTGTAGTATTTGTAACAACAAATGTATGCCTCGAGATGAAAAAGTAAGTGATCATGAATAAGCTCACAGCATCTGCAATTTAAATTTTCGGATTCCGTCTCGCATTCCATTTTTTTTTTTCCACAACTTAACAGGCTATGACAGTCATTAATTTATTAGTTGTGAAAATGAAATAATCTATACTAATATAAGAATAGTAGTTAGTCATCAACTATAAACGTCCAGGCCAAACTACTCGATCTACTGTTATGAAACTTGGAGGACGTATTAGGTTTATGACGTAGGTTCTCGCTAAGAAAGGATTTTTGAAAATTTCACCCCCAAGGGGTCTAAAATAGGTGTTGAAATATTAAAGAGGATTTGTGTATTTCGGAAACGAGAAGTCGTAAAGATCTGAAAATTGGCATATAGATTCTACCAACAACACGTATTTTAGAGTTTTTTGAAATTTGAACTGGTGGCGGAGAAATAGGGGTAATTTTATTTCGAAAGGGGGTAGAAGTATTTTCTTTTTCTTGGAAAGTCACATATGTTTAAAAATTGATATGTAGACTTTACTAATACATACAATAATAGGATCCGTGTTTCGGCGTTTGTCTATTACCCCCCTAGGCCCCTATGTCCCCCATCATCATAAAAAAAATTGAGCTCCAAAAATATAGGTTGTGGGGTATAGTACAGTAAATAGGGATATTTCACTAAAAAAAAAATACTTAATGGCTGAAAGTTTGAGGGTGTGTTCGGGGGCATGTCCTGAGTCTAAAACTGAGTTTTCGAATTCGAGGGGGTGGGGGAAGATACTACCCCCTCTTTATGTAGGGTTGAGTTCGTTTTAATTCCTTATCTTGGGTGCTATTGCCCGTACCGTCAACAAATTTGTGGGAAATGAAATGATCTATCTAATGATATTAAAATCGAGGTCATAGGACGATTAGGTAAATCACAATGGCCGGTCAAAGATCAAAAGTGGGGGGTAGTTTTTGGTTTTTCGTGAATACCGTGAAACCGGTAGGTTTTTTCGCATACTGCTTACATACCATTTCGTAGTACTTGAAATTAGCTACAAAATGAGTGCTCAAACACTCATCTACTGTGAATAGTTTGCTGTCAATCCAACGACCAAGTTGACCGCGCGAGCCGATGTTGTACTTCCCGATAAGCTAGATGAAATTTTCAGGGGAAGTAGAGAAAAAGTTCCTCTATCGAATGGATGGAGGGACGAATTTTTAAAAAAATTTGGAGGGGTGGGAACATAAAAAAAAAAAAAAAAATTCGAGAACGGACCCCCTTTGCAATCTAAAAATGACGTCGACGTCCCAAGTGCTTTCAGCCCGAAGCAGTGTGTATTTAGCCCCCCCATCGATGGTAGAAATTAATTTTCAAAAATTTGCCGAGGCCGAACCGTTGGTCCGATCGAGTTGAAATTTGGTGTGTATATAGTGAAACGGGTCCTCTATTGAAAATAAAATACGAGAAAAAAGTCCCCTAGGGGGCCCCTAAAAAAATTTTTTGGGCCGATTTGGATGAAATTTAAAGTGTAGGGAAAAGGGATCCAAAAAAGGTTAAATTTCAAGTTTCAGCTCTCTACGATATATAGGAAAGGTTTTAGCCCCTATCTCCCAATTTTGAGAAAGGGCGTAGAATCGGGTATACGCGTTTTGCATTTATTTTCACGAATTTTGGAAAATTGAAATTTTCATCAGACAGAGGAGGGAAAAATACGTCGAAATTGTCTCTAGGCATTTTTTGCTCTGACGCTTCCTAAGCGCGCACGGTCAACTTGGTCGTTGGATTGACGGCAAACTATTCACAGTAGATGAGTGTTTGAGTACTCATTTTGTAGGTGATTTCAAGTACTTCGAAATGGTATCTAAGCAGTAAGCGAAAAAACCTACCGGTTTCACGGTATTCACGAAAAACCAAAAACTACCCCCCACTTTTGACATTTGACCGGCCATTGTGATTCACCTAATTGTCCTATGACCTTGATTTTATTATCATTAGATAGATAATTTTATTTCCCACAAGTTTGATCCCTCGGACTTGACGGTACGGGCAATAGCACCGAAGATAAGGAATTAAAACGAACTCAACCCTACATAAAGAGGGGGTAGTATCTTCCCCCACCCCCTCGAATACGAAAACTCAGTTTTAGACTCAGGACATGCCCCCGAACACACCCTCAAAATTTCAGCCATTAAGTATTTTTTTTTAGTAAATGCGATTTATTTGTCTCTATTTACTGTACTAGTATCAAATTGAAGGAAATAAAGCACGGAATCTGAAAAAGTATTTGGTATTAGATTTATAAATTTATAGGATAAAGTGTAACGCTCTTTTGTCGGAACAAAAGAATGCTCATAATAATTGTGCGCGACTATGCTCAGTTGTTCTTTAGCTTGGGAAGTTTCTTGATGTTGGTACAGTAAAAAGAGGTCGCCACTAGTTTGTATAAAATTATTTTGATTATAAAAGAATAGCCAAACTAGACACTATTCAAATAATTAGCTATTATTTAAAAAGATAAATTCAAAAATCTGAAAAGGTAAAATAAATCCAATACCTATCTGACATTTAACCTCTTCAATAACAACACAAGTCTTGGAATTCTATAAACAATAATTTATTGACAGGATGGCGAACTTGTTCATTAACATTGAAACCAATAAATTGTTCAAAGGTGATTATTGTTCAGTATCCAATTTTATTTAAAAAAAAAGAAGCAGCTTTCCGAAAGCAATACTTAACTTAAATAGGTATACAAAAATTGAGTAGATACCTTCGATGAGACTTACCTAAGTGTAAATGTTGAAGTCAAAATAATATTAACCTTCAATTTTTGACTCAAAGTCAATCAAATCAATAAAAAACAAATTAATCAATGCGGAAAGGTAAAAAATAATCCCTAGGTAGTTATAAATATCAAAAACCTGCTAGGTGAAATCAAGGGGTTACGGTTTCCGGAAGAGCTCTACCTTCTTTCCTTTAAAGTTCAAAATAAGTAACCACAAAACTTAAATTGAACTACCTAAAAATTTTACATTAATTTACCTTGTAAAACTAGCACATTATTGATTTGAAATTAAAGGTAAATAAACCCTTTCAAAATTAATAAATTCACAATAATATTATATCGATTAGTCACTTTTGGCCTGGAGAACTCACTTTCGGCCCTGGTAAATTTTTCTTTCACACTCAAACACAAATCCAGGTGCAATGTTTGTATTTAGAAGTAGATGTCACATGTGTTTACATTGTTGAAATTTCATAAGATTGGTCGGTGTCAGGTGTCAGTCGAGATTCCATTTTTGTCATATTTTTACCTCATTTTTTCTAATAATTAATGGGCCAAAATAAAATAGTATACATAATTCGGTGGAAAGTTTCTCTTTCCACCTCCGCATGTAATATACTATTACAAGTCAGTAGAATTATTTATTTAAAAAAAAAAAGCAGTTTTATCATAAGAATAATTGCTTGTAGGTATCTTCTGGAAGAGTGACAAATAAATTATTGTACATTATACTACAGGTAGCAGTTTTTACTGGCTCTTGAAGCTCTGAACTGTTTTACCTGGCTTATGCCCGTATTACATCTGTGTATTTTTCCGTGTATTTATTCATGTAGTTCAGGGTGCCAACATTATTTTGTTTTCATAATGCTGAATAATGTTGCATTTGAAGCTTTTTGGTTGTCACCCTGAACTACATGAATAAATACACGGAAAAATACACAGATGTAATACGAGCATAATAATGTAAAATACTATAATCAGCTAATGAAACTAAACGATAGGGGGCGTTAAAGAAAAGGTAAAAATAAGTTACAGTAATTAGGATGGCACGTATAAGACACCCATAGGTAAGTAGTTATACAAGCCTGGACGGAATCCTTGTAAAGCCTCGGAAGTTTTCACAAATTTGAGATCTGGAGGTACGAAACTGGCTGGAGACAACCAAATAATGGTTGGGGATCAATTTCTTACAGAACACAGACTTCCCTTGTAAAGGAGACCCAGATTTACTCTGAGTTTCCAGGACAGCGTGTTCTCAAATTTGTCAATTTTCACTTGGAGAAGTACAAGCACGGATTTCTCGTCCTGCCAAAGGTGCTTGAATGAATCGAGGGAATGTAAGGACTCATTCATCAGAGAGCAAAAGGAATTCACATACCTGAACGGCCGATAGTAACCTCAGTTTCTATAATCTTCATAAAAATCAACAATCGGTTGATTTTCCAGGAAACTTTCTAGTAGACACGATCAAGCACCCTTGTGACTAGTTAATTTACAAAACTATGGGCTTGATGGCCAAAAACAAAGACAAAGTTCCAGGACAAGAGAGAAAAGGGCAAGTCAAAAGTACCCAAATTAGGTGCTAGCTGACGTCACACACATAACCTCAATGACATGTTTGTCCCCCTATCGAAAGTCACGTTATGTCATTGATGACAAGCTAGCGACTGTGTGTTAAATAGTCCTTTCAAACGCTTTGTTTGTCCCCCCAACAGAACTGAGGTTATGTGTATGTCGTCAGCTCTAGAGCTTTCTTCGTCTGTCAAGCTTATCAAAATCATAAAAATGACAGCGCTACAGGTTTCA